TACAAAAATGAATTTTATTATGAACGAAGCAGATCTCATTAGATACTGTAAATAACAAATTGAAATTGATTAAAATCTTCTGAAAAACAACCAAACAAGCAAAAGTTTGGAAGTTCAGTGTAAAATAATTTTAAAAAATCTATACAGTTTTTCATATGAATGATACCATAAGATGAGACTATAAGTTATGAACGACCTCTGAGTGACGCCAGACTGACCTTGAGAGTCCCCACCTGATAACTAGGACCAAATGAGGCTTATGAACTAGTGTGAGGAATTATACTTATAATTTACAGTTGATGATTAAGATTAGGAATTAGATTCCAGGTTTTCATCACGAGCTGACATCAGCAATAATGTCAACAACTCTAATTATCCAAATAGATGAGTGAATTTCGCACCGAAATCTGAGACCTAATTTCTTATATCTGATTGGTTCGTCCATAAATTATAGTCTCGCCGAAAGGATAATTAGGGGGAAGAGGAATAATTGGAAAACGTTTCACCTTCTACCAACATTAAACAATTCTGTAGGCTAATATTAACCGCTTTTTCTCTTTATCTCGCATTTTAAATTAGAAAAATGGAACAAATTTAAAAATCTGATATGTCGATGTATGAGAAACTGTTATGATTTATCGACCGTCAAATATCGTGTGGCAAAATCGCCGATCGGAACACCGACCTTTATAACTTTGCCCCTCTGCTAAACCAAGAGTGCGTTAATCAGCATGAGAAGCCTTGAGTTAACTCTGAGTCCTTATTGGTCCTATGTATGGTAGCTTCTCTCTCAGCCTTCGCCGTACAGTCTAGAATACATTATCAGCCTCCACTACATGAATTGTATATTTCAGACATATGTGGTTTATATACAAACAAACTGGATCGCATCTCACTATAAAATGAAAAAAATATTAATTATATGAGATCAAGCCAAAAGTGGCTGCGAGTATAAGAGTAAATTAAGAATGATAAGTCGTATAAAAGTAGCCAATAGGTCAAATGAAAGTCTATAATAAAAGGAATGTGAATATATATATAATCTACTTACTTAATAGTAACCCAATAAGAATATATGTAATAATAGTCCATAAATAATCCCTAGCAGTTACCACTAATTTATTCTTCATTCGAATGCAACAGAAACGATGTCGAATAAACTGTTTTGTCAGTTGCAGTAAAAATGTAGTTTTGACCTAATTGACAAGGAGATAACATCAAAAACATTTTAATACAGACAGATTGTGTATTAGATTTATCGGATTTTGATTGTACTTTCATATTAAGAACCAACTACCTCACTCACCCTGCCAATGTATCTATAAATTTAATTCTTCTGGAGAAATCAGTTGTCATATAAATGATTAAGTTATCGTTTCAAGGAGTAATGTCATGGCATATCAGACAAACTCCATGGTGTCTCTAGGCTATACGATTAGTAGGATGTAGTTGTAGGTGGGCTAGTACGAGTAAGTGAACTACTCATTTGAACAAAGTTATTATGGACATGTTCCTACCAGTTCAGCAAACTACCAAAACACGCGAATTGTAAACACTATTATTTGGTATTTTGTAATAAAACTCTTGAAACAACGTTTGATTTTCTTTACTCTGGATAGTTCATAGGTCAAGGGTTAAGAATGTCATAGCAGGGCAAAAAGGTTCAACAAGTTGGTACAAATGGATAGAAAATCAACCAAAAAAAACAATTTTAACTCAATTTCATGAAACTGGGCATTAAATCAAGTTAAATATTATCTTTAATGTAAAGTATTGTTCTACGAGTAATTTGTCTTGGACAGCTTACATTCATTTCAGAAACTTTAGGTATTAGAAACCCAATAACTCAGTACAAGTTCGTTTACTTAGCTGAGATCCACATTTTTAGTGTGATGGCTGAAACTACTTAGTCCCTGTGAATAAGTGGATCTATCGATTTCGCTTAATTATTAGTTAAAATTTATTCGAAATCAACACTAAACACCGTCTTTATTGAACAAATATTGAAGATTAGCTTTGGAATGGATTTCCCAAAGATTATAGTGAAAGTTCATACGTTATTTAATCGACCGGATTCCGCAGTAACTGGTCAATTATAGTTGTATGAATATAACAATAGATATTACATAAATTGGAATATCAATCATTAACTGTTGACAGATTTGGTTCAGTAGTATCGTATTCGCCACAAGACCTTTAAGTGACGTGCTTAATTTGCTTCTGTTATATTGTGTTCCGACCCAGGGAAACTTGGTTTTCAAATATAAACCTATTTTTTATCAGTAGAATCTAGAACATTCATATCCTCCTGTTAGGGATTCATCAACTGGATGTATCCTTATCTTAGCACTGATGCCGATACTATTAAGTTTGTATTTTGTCTTTTCTTATCAGACTCACTTTTTGTACACCACTTTATACTACTTGCTAATATTCAGTAAACAGTCTATATTTAATAATTTCTGAAAACAGTGTAGTGAATGTTGATCTCTTGTGTAATATCCCTACGTCTTCACATAAACTAATAACATTTACTGTATTTATCATAAAAATTACTCTCCCTCTCAGCCCTTGTAACAGTTGTCTAAATACAACATTTTCCATACTTCTGTGCTCTTACTTCTCATATTGGTTGTTGATAAATTATTGTTAACATTAAACACAGCTACCATTTGCGGTGACATGTCGTAATTACTTTTAATGTTACTATTAGCAGAATCCTTTCTTTTTTGAGATATACAGAAGCGTTAAATGCCTCAGATACCTCATGAGTTGAGGTTTGTAACAAATTTATTTATATTCAATAATAACAAAATCATTCTTCACACAAAGTTTTTTAAAACTTTGGTTTGACGCTTATCTCAATCATGTAGTTAGACGCTTTAATAGAATTAAAACATACTAAGACTGGAATTTGATACCTATCGCTTCACACATTTACATGGAATGATCAATTACAATCCTAAATGCACAAAAAAACCCCGGGAAACTAACAATTTTTTGATGAAAATCACGGTTAGATTTTCATTCATCATAATAAAAAGTTTCCGTTGTGATCGAATTCAGTGATGATAGGGATGATTTATAGTCGAGTATAAAATTGACAATCGTCCATTACTTTTAAGGCTATATGATATTTTTCAGAATAAGCGTGTAAAAAAGTGATGTGTATTTAAGTAATATTGTAAAATAAAAAAAGAATGTCCCTTACTTAATGTTTATTGATATTCATATGAAAACGTGTCGATCAATGGAAAAAATCCATCCTAAAAGGATGTGCTTAAACAACAAACCCAACTTCTAGTGACTGCGAAGATTTTCATTATCGGTCAGTAATTAATTAAGTGGTGTTAGATTTTATACTAACAATGTTGGCAACAGAATCCGACTTAAGGCCTCTTCATCGCTCTGCTGAATAATAAGGGCAATCGTGTTCATCAACTTGTGCAGTCGGCGGAGATTGGACGAATCCGCCACTTTGCTATAACCTTTATTCTCGAAGACCCTACTTTGAGGCACCAAAGATCGTAAAGGGAAATATATATCTATGAACTGCATGAGTCTCGGACTGTTTATGTGAGTAGGATCCGGTTTCAACTGTGAATAGAGTTAGAAAGGTAGTCTGCCCTATATCAAAACGTGGCCTAACCAAAATGAAACAAGTATGTGGACAAAACAAAAAAACGATGGGTAGCAAATACAAGCGAAGGGTGCGGTGACCACCTACCCTCCCTTAAGACTGCTTATGACCGTGTATGGAATGAAGTGCATGAGCGCAAGCCTATGTGCCCAGTGGTATACATGTAACGCACAAGTGCTCGAAAGTGGTAGCAAATATGAATGAAGTGAGCGGTGGCCATCGACCCTACTAAAGGGAAAGTACACCAAAATGTATGCCATACGATGGATAAGTGAGAACCTCTGCGTTACCTCAATAGATGTGACGTATACTTGTCTCAGGTACGACGCCTGTTAGCCAAGACCCAGTGGTCACGATTTCCTCCTAAAATCACGTACTAATGTCGGGTGTGTGTGCCTTTAAGGATGATATTCTTTATTAGAAAAGCCAACTGACTTCACCTTAATGAAGCTTAACCAAACTCAGTTGGGCTGACACGTAACTATCAATGTTAAATCAGGTCAAAGAAATACTATTTGGTGGCTGAAACTGAGGTAGATCAACCGAATATTGAGAATCTGCACCCAATTTCTGAACTGCTAAACTGCATTGACGGCAACATTGAAGACTGCATCGTTTATTGAGACAATTAAAACACTGTAAACGTTTCCTCAATTTCAGATATTTGATTATTCCACAAACGCTAAACCAGCTTACTCTGATATTACAGTCTATAAATGGTTGTCTTCAAAATTCCCCTTTTGTACTTGTGAAAAAAGATCTTGATGCTTTCATCATGTAAGTGTTAATATTTTACTCATAATGAAATATGTATTATTTACTTATAAACAAGAATATACTGGATGAGAAAAAAAAGGAAGAAAGTAGATAAAATAAAATAGAGGAAAGAAAATTTAAAATAAGTTATGTTATTCACAAATAAATAAACAAATAGACACAACCTATATCCATATTAAAGTAAATCGTTAGAATAAGGCACTTTATGAAATAAATATTGCGTAATAGTATATGATCAATCATTTAGATTAATAAAACAATATTGTTACACAAATCCATTGATCAACTTGTATCTTAATCAGAAGTGAGAGAATTAGAGTTTAAAAAGACAAACACAGTGTACACAGGATTACTTTGACCACCGTCATCAATTCGATTAGGTATCGAATTCACAAATACTTGACAACTGCAAACAGACAGACACATAAACATACACAGAAACTATCCTTTATTATTATTATTTTTTTTTGAGAGAGATAGACTATTTACAACTAGCCAGTAAGAAAGCACGGTTAAAAACAAATCATTGACGTAATAATGATTAACGATACGATGAAGAGTAGACACTACCAATCGCCCCAGTCATCACCATCATCATTACTAGCATTATTGACAACGTTTGATTTATTTGATTCACTTTGTTGTCTTTTCGATGAGTTTATAGGCTTATCAGTTTTACTAGAATTAGTTCGAGTTGGAACATGTTCAGATGATGACTTTTTTGATTGATAATTCGAATGATTTGTCGACGGTAAGCTTTTCATTATATCTGAAGATTGTGATAATTTAACAGTTGATTTCTTTGTACTCGTTCTCTTTTCAATTGGATTCTCGTTTAGAGTAAGACTATCGAAAAATTCATTTGAATTCCAATCCAAGTCAATTTTATTCTTTGTTTCTTGATTACACGGTGGTTGATAATCCCAATAGGATGAAGGTGTAAGTGGGGGAATATTAGACTCTGATAAAATTTTTTTATTTTCTGAGTTATGCTTTAATGTTGATTTATTGTCATCTACATCTTCAAAAACATCATTTATATCTAAATTCCAATCATCATCACCACCGTCATCATCATCAGTAGCAGCATTATTATTAGTATTGTCCATAAGATCCCATGAATTTGATTCTTTGTCATGATTAACAGTCGACTTTGAAGCTGATTTGGGTGAAATTAATCGAGCAGATTTATTGGAATTTCCTAAAACTGAAATCAATAATATTCACATGTAAATAATGAAACTGGGATGAAAGATGATGGATGATTTGAAAATTAATTAATGATATTAACAATTTTACAAGAATACTTATAAGTTAAATGAGTTAACTCTGATATGATGTAAAACAAAATATCTGGTCTGTGATCAGTTCGCTTTGTTCTAATTTACAGTTGCGAAACGTGGCCATTAAGGGTATAGGATACTCGTAAGTTACTAGTATTTGATTACAGATGTCTTAGAAATATTGCCAGCATCTTTTGGGATCACCGGATAAGTAACAGTGAGGTTTGACGCACGGTATTATGGAATGATGGTAAATCAGTTGATGAGTTTGTGAATCTTCATCGATTGAGATGGTTGGGTCACATATTACATATGCCTGAACACCGATTACCACGGAGCGCAATGTTGACTAGAGTTGGAGACAGACAGAAGTTAGGAGAGGTCAAACCAAAACGTTGCATCAGTCCTTGAAGTCACTAACTTCTGGTCCGAGTCATGTTGGTAGATGCAGACTACTTGGGTGAGGCCCACGCAAATATCGTAACCAATGGTTAGAGATTCTAGGTGACATGGCTCATAATTGATCACAATCGCGTAGGTGTATACACTCTTTGTCTTCCCTTAAACCGTGTGATTAAAATTACTTTATACCTTTCTTTCTACGAACTAATTTTTTCTTCCTGTATTATATCCTTAAATATAATCTTTCCTCTATATATTACTACCATTGAAGTAACTAGTTCTATGAATTTGGTGTTGTGCTAATGAGATGTAGCAAATTGAACCGATGCATATATGTACTTGATCCTATGTTGTAGCTGACCGACTGACTGGTCTATGATCTGGTTTTAACAAGATATGACCTCAGCACTGATTTAATATCTTGCTAATCAAGTTAAAGACAAGACAGTTTAATTAGGTCATAAAACTATTTGGAACATAGAGAATTAAGTTTAGATTGTGTAAAAAAAGATGTGTGAAATTTATTATTTCAATAGAATAACTGTATCTGACTAGGTATTTATTGTCTGCTATTGAATATACTATTGTACGAAAAGTTTTAGTTCATTAACTTAAACACCCAACACACGGTTAAAACCTGCATTATTTACAATCGTTCTACTTAGAATGATCACAAAAACATTGCTCATAACTCGAACACATTAAAGCCACTAGCTTGGTAATAGTTCGAGACTTGTCATATGGTTCAAAGAATCAGTTACCAAGCTTGTGATTTTCTTCTCCTAAGGTGAATAATAAATATAGTCAGGCAAAACTTCTTCACAGGAATTAAACAATACTTCCAATAATTCAACGAAAATAATCAAGAATCATTGATCATCTATCAACAGATGTTTGCTACACAATGTAATATATACTCATTGTATCCGGACAAAGTTATTATGATATTTGTATTGACAAACTAATCAGATAGAATCTATTGGATATTGTGCATAATCAAAACATTCAGAGTAGTATTTTGCATTATACCCAATTTCAATTCATGATGAAAACTCTAGATCCTTAACGTGAATCAATCATCAATGCACGGACCCTTAAAAATCTGATTAAGAATAAATTTTTTCACGATAATTTTAAGCTCACTTTTATGGTATATACTCTTACTAAAAAGATCATAAATTAGTGAAATATATTGCTGGGTTCATAATTTGTTGAAGATAATGAACTCTTGTTGGAATACAGATATTTTCACAGTGGAACTCATGAGTCGATCTAAGATAGACCACCACTGAAAATCTGGAAGTACTGGACGACCGTTTCGTCCTAGTATGGGAGTCCTCAGCGACACGCATCCACGATTCCGCACACACCAATCGAACCTAGGACACTCGGTCTCACTCACGAACGCTTAACCTCTAGACCAGTGATCTAGTATCCAATGGTGTTAATGTCTAAATTCAATCAATTCATAATGTGCGCCACCCTTGATTCATTGTCGTTGGTGGATAACTGTCTCACACCCGACACAAATTGGATACCATTGGTCACGGTTTCTCGATAGAATTCCTAGAGTCCCTATTAAACCGACATCCAACTAGCTTCAAAATAGATAATCAGTGGATTTCAAATTTCTCTACATAATGTGTGGTAAATGAATTCTAATAAATCAATGTTGAATCTTAGGTATTATTTACAACTTAATGAACTAAAATGTACTAACACCGTCAAATGTCTGCTCAGTGGTGCTGAGGTTAAGCGTTCGTGAGTGAGACCGAGTGTCCTGGGTTCGATTGGTGTGTACGGGATCGTGGACGCGTGCTGCTGAGGACTCCCATACTAGGACAAAACGGCCGTCCAGTGCTTCTAGGTTTTTAAACGTGGTTTAGCTTAGATCGATTCATGACTTCAACTGTTAAAATACTATAATCTCCACAAATCCCCATACTGGAATACAAATATGTTTAGTTAGTAAATGTTAAACGTGATAAACTGTGTTCCGATTTTATCCACTAATTACTGATAGGTATTATTAGAGTATAAATGAAAATAATTAAATGATAAGAAGTCATTTATAGATAATGACGACAAAATACAGACACTTACTATTATTACTGCACTGTTTTTCTTCAATTCTTTCTAAGTCATTTGAGTTTCTATTGAGTTGTGATGCTGACGATGATAATGAAGGATCGGATGTTGATCGTACATCCGTATCAAACGATTTTGTCGTGGCTGTAGTTGTCGTTGTTGATGATGATGGTAAAATACGAGTAGAAAATGACAAAGCAGACAAAGCCCATTGAGTAAGTGCACTGGCTGAAGATGCTCCACTTGTACCAGTTCGTGAAGTATTATCTGCACTTGATGTTTGATTATCACTTGTCGCTTGATTAGATGTGTTATGTTCACTAGCCTTATTTAAGAAAAGCAAAAAGATAACAACAAGAGAATAACATCAGTACAACATAATATGATAGATAGATATTATCCAAATAAATTAATAAACGAATGATAAACAATATCTAAGATTTACAGGAAGTGCATTTCTTTATCAGGAACTAACTACTGTATGCATAAACAGTGATAATTTCTATTAACTGAGCTACAAGAGCTAACCATGTACAGATTGTTGAATATTGGGTATTTAATTATTGTTTCATGTTTTATGAATGGAACTTACTTAGAAATAGGTTAAGTCAATCATAGATATCAGTTTAAGATCAAATAATTACTAAGAAATACTGACTGGTACCACCTATTAATCAATATTTAGCTTAATTATCCGAGAGAAATAAATACGTATGTTATTGATTGAAAATTTAGCTCGACTTTCTACGGGACACACTAACAAAAGAGTTTGGGTATGTATCTTGATCTGATTTAGCCAATAAAAGCTTCCTACCGAATCTTAGTGTTACGACCTGGGTATACCCACTGGGATTGATGTTAATATAAACAGAAAAAGTTATCTCAGGACTAGCTAACTGTTACATCCGAGCGAAGATTAAATCACGAGTAACTTCTGAGACATATTAATTGACTAATATTATCTATACATTCTTATGGTATAATTATTCAATAATTAGATTATGTATATTTATATCCCTCTTATTATAAGCTTTATTTTGACTTATAATTTATTATTATACGATTTACTGTCCCTAAATTATGCTCAGTTTATTAACTACTGCCTCCCACGTTTACAGTCACTTTTTGGCTTTATTGTGTACAAATGTTATTTCCTATTTTATAGTGCGTTGCGGTCGGTTTGTTTGATATATAAACCCAGTATGTCCGAAATAAATGATTCGATTCGCATATTGGAAGCTGGTATTTGGTGTTCTGGACTCAAGTGGACGGGCTAGGCGGACATAGGACGCTAGACTGCTCATACCGGTCGAACGTCATTTCTTTGGCATAGTGCTAAGATTGTATAAGTCGTATTTTGATTGGTGGATAGATCACGTGACAAAAGCCGGACATAAAGTCATAAAACTAACGCCCTTAATATGCTAGTCTACCTAATATAATTTGGAGATTGTAATGCGTGAGTTCGAATGTTGGTAAATTCGGGCTTGTACGTATAACTATTATACATAACAACCAGCTAAGAAAAAAAACACAACTGATTTATCAACTAGCTGCTTTCCATCCGTATAATAATAATAATACTTTGCTTTTAATTTATTCCTTTTGTTAAACTGTAATAGATTGAACCATTACACAAAATTTTACTAACTCTTGTCAATCTATATTTTAATAACTAGTAAATGAAAGTTGATTTATGTAACAGGTCCCTAAATCAATTTGCTGAAATCAACTGAATTCGTTCGAATATCTAATTGTGACAAATCTCATTGAAAATAAGTTTATATAGTTAAAGATTATTTTATTTATTACCAATCAGTTAACGGTTCAGATTGCTGTTTTAGTTTTGTGGTTTTACCGTTTTGTAAATAAACATTTATCAGAATACTGAGGTTTCTAATAAACTATGCTATAGTTAGTTTGAATTCAATTTGTCTAGTGCATGAAGAGGCATCGAGAATACTACAAATTTAATATTATTTTGCTTTATGACTGTATAGAGAGCAGTTATCATATTCTGCTCCAATTTCTTATGGAAACTAAATCAATAACTAATTAGCTATGAGCACTTTAGCACTATTCCTTGTACCAATAATGATGTAAGACATTTTTTAGGCTATATACTATTATTCATTTGCCAAATGTATTTATTTGAACACATAAATATTGGTACAAGAGGGCACCAAATATATATATGCCACACAAAACAATGAGAATGGGAAGAGAAAAAAGACGGTAAGGAGCGTATAAGAAAAACAAAACAATAACGAATAGATTAGTGTAACGTAGAGTAATAATAATAATAATAATAATGGGGGATACGGAGAGGTACAACCAGAAGAATTCTTTCAGTGAAGGAAGATACAAACATTTTTTATGAAGAAAGTAAAAGAAGGTTACAGTAGGATCGCCACTAGCTTCTATTCTGAGCCATATCTGGTAACGTAGCATACAATTTTCAACCAGGCAGTGACTCGAGAACGTTTAGATAGAACCGAGTTTCCACCATGGGCGAGCTGCTGCCCAGACCGAAGCAAGTGGTTTTCTCAGGAGGCCACACCCTGAGCCCTCGACCTAAAAGTCTGACCCACAAGGTAGTGGAGCATCGTGAGGAGATGCAGTCCCATGGCAGCCGGTGACCAACGATTGGTTCATATGCCATTTGTTCCCGCAGGATACTGGAGCCCATGTGCACCATTGGTTTGGGATCCGGTTAAAGCTTCAGATATTCGCTTTTCGTCCTCTCATTTTCGTAAACAACACCCCCGCCACGAAAAGGCAGTGAGTAGGACTTTTTTTGCCAAATGTTAATGCGCCATTCGATTTTGAGCAGTCATACTTTAAATGTGAAGGTTTGTTATACAACTCGACTGGTTGCTTAGACCGAATTCAATGGAGAGAAGTTTAAATAAATGATTAGGGCAATTAAAACCAAAGTACTTGAACTACTAACAAGCCATTGGGTAAATCTTATCGGTTAAAAGATGAATATGATACATACTCATGATGTAGAACGACAGTAACAAGTTACTTCGGTGTTGTGTTGGGTAGTCGACCGAGTCCGGTACTAGCAATATACGGTTGCTATACACGAGCCCAACCAGAATACTGGTGTAAGAAAACCAAGTGTTGTGGACAGAGGAATAAAGAAGGAATGAAAAATAATAAAAGGTACTTTTTGGAACATTAGTACACCTTAATAATCCATTGATCGCAAGCCTTTGTCATATCTTGTGAACTAAAACAAAACGTAGACACGATCAACATTAAAATTGAAGCCGTAAAAATAATTAGATCATAGTACACAATTTAATTCAATCGGCTACAAGTTATACTTTTTGTGTATCAGAGCTGAATATACATATTAATTTACAATGAAACAAGTAATCACCCAAGATACAACAGCTGGATGTTAAATTGTTAAAATACTAGATGATAATTTCATTGAAAACATGGAAAAAGTGAATGGCTGTTTCATCCTAGTATCAGTCAGTTACAACATAGGACCAGGTACATGCATGCATAGGTCCAAGTTACCACACCTCATTAGCACAGCAAGACGAACACCGGATTCATAGAAGCAGTTAACTTAATGGTGTAATAAATAAAGGAAAGATTTTATGTGAGTATGTGGTACAGAAAGAAAGATGAAATAATTTTAATCCCATAGTTTAAGGGAAGACAGAAAGTGTATACACCTACGCCTTTGTGATCGTCCTAGTATGGGACTCCTCAGTAGTGTAAATCCACGACTCTGCCAGTAAGAATAAAAACCGAAACCTTCGGTTTCGCATGCGAACACTTAATCTCCAATAACACTAAACTGGGATCCAAATGTGTGCAAGTCTAACTTCAATCAATTCACAATGATAAGTTTAGCATCAATTTAATAAGTCCGAAATATTGATTAGGTTCTGAATACAAAAGATTCAGCTTAATGTTTAACTATACTTCGTCAAAAATTGGATCGTACAAAAAACAGAAAATTTGTCACTAAATAAGGTAATTAATGTTTACTTTTAAACATTGTCATTGTGATAGATAAATGAGGATGTAGTACAAAAAAGCACAACAAAAGCAAGGATTCTAATGTGACTATAGATTTGAATTACTTTTAATTCATATCATATTATCATTACCAACCTAAGGAGTTGAGGCTATGACCCTTCGCTATTGATTAAGCACAACAATTCTTCTTATAATTACCATTATTTAAAATACATACTTAACATTCTTGTTGAAAGTAAAATAATTTAAAAGAGAGATAAGAACACATGCTCTTCCAAGTATTGACGTACTCTAACAGAAATAAATATTGGATACATGTGTTTGTCAGTTGATATCCATACAATAAACCATGTATTAAAGAAAAAAAGACTTTCAATAAATAATAAATGTTATACACATAACACAGACATATATTTTATTGATTATGTGATAGGTCATGTTAATAGGAAACTAGTTATGTGGTATGGTCTACTTATGTTGACAGACATAAATAGTGTGTAACACGAATCAGAAGAGGAAGATCGGCCTAGCAACAAAAGACTGAAGAGATAGAACTGAAGAATACAGGGATGTAGACAGAGTATGATGGTAATAAAAACAGGAATGAAGGAATGATGAACTTTGTAAGAGAAAACTGATGAAAAATATGCAAATTATGTATTTAATGTATGATTTTCATATTTTAAGAAGATACTATAATTTTGCACTAAACGATAAATTGGTCTCCCCCACTTAATTTCTTCGTTCCCTACAGTTATAATTATCTAAATTTTATAATATGTAATAGACAACTATTTGAACCATTTGATAGGACTAAAATATACTGACAAAGGATTGAAATGAATGAACACGACGAATCAGAATGACGATAGCGCAATTTCTTGAAAATGAATTACAGATAGCATGCTATGAGAAATCATGTTTTTGACTAGGTTTCATATTTTGGTAAACTTGGATGATAAGATGATCGTCAATCGCTTACAGAACTTTGTGTACATGTAGGCAGTAGATGACATGCAGAGAAGATGAGGTTATTCCATACTGTGCTACATGTTGACCAAAGTCTAATAAAAATAGCTTTTTTCTGGTGAAGATTTAGCTAAGTTTGCACTTGATTATAGTCTTGATAACTGAATGGATTACAGGAGTACAAGTAACCACTACTGCGGCAGTAGTAGTCATTTACACAAACTATATTCTGATGTTTCAAGGTTGGGATGTCACCATTAACTCTTAACATCATAATCTTAATATTCTAAAACTATTTTTTAAAAATAATTTTATTATTTCTTTTCGTAATATGCAGGTAATTTACAAGAGATGATTGTTTAATTTCAAGGTCACTCTTAAGATCCTTCACGGTCATCTGTATTGTTTAGTACTACTGACGATTCTTGTATAGTATGATAATGAACTTCTAAAATGGAGGAAACAAGGGCTAATTATTTTTTGATTGAGATCATGAACCGATTAATGTTAAACCACCATTGGAAACATGGAACTACATCATGACCCCGATTTGAAGAGAAAATAAAAGTGTGAAAACAAGCACACCATTCTCACCACGGATGGTAAGCTATTATAATATCGTCCGCTGAATAAAATCAATGAAATGACCTATATTTCAGTTTTTTAAACAATCATTTATACGACATTACTTTGTAAATTTCTTAAATGAACACATACAAAATAATCACTTACATGTTCCAATCGATCAAGTATACCACGTATGGCACGAAATGTATCATCACGTATTGACTTCTCTGTATCAGTCGTTAAGAATGACAAACAAGGTAGGACTTTTCCAGCTAATAAATCATTTGTATAATATTCCTTATAAAGAGAAAAGTGAATTATAAATTACAGAATAAGTGTTTGTAGTCATGAAAATTTTTTTCAGATTAATTCACTGAAGTGAAACTTTAGCTTCCTTCAATAGACACTAGTAGTGAAGAAAAGTATGAGGTAACACAGAACTGACTACCCAATCAGCTTGTAGAATATAAAGATATAAAAAGAAGAAATACACATATGTACCCCTAATATGTGAGAATTAATTTAACGCTTCCAGATAAACTCCTACATTATTTGTAGTTGATTAGTTTCAGTGAATACACAACGTAATGCAACGTGAATAAGAATTATGCATTCTGAACCTTACTGACTGTTAAGATTTCCAAATAACTTTTAACAAACACTTACTCTGTTGCCCGTTTATTTCGACAGATTAGTTTATGCTTGAAAAAATCCCCAATAAACTTTGTGCCTAAATAAATATAGCTAACAACATTAGGAAAAAAATCAGTACTACTTAGAAAGCTTTCATTAAACTATAAAGTAACGACATTAAAAGTGACCTGATGAAATAGTACAATACCAGGTCTACTGAGTCACATGTATGAAGACTTATTTTGAATTACTTCATTACTATATACTATTGAAGTATTCATTAGAACAGGTGAAAATAGATTTCACTTGTATGTTATACTTTTCGCATAATGATATGTTTTGTCTGTATTTATATCAAGCTAATTGTATGATTTGAGTATGACCCATATGCCCTGGTACGCTCGAGGGCATGCAGAGTCCGCTCTCTCTCTTCCGAAGTCCTCTCATATGGCCACGAGTATACAGCCACTGTCAGGGAAGTCCTAATCAATGCCTTCTAACGGTATTACTGTTTTTCATGAAATTGAGAGGATGAAAAGCGAATGTCTGGAGGATCCACTTAAGGGAGTTGGAAAACACTGATTCCAAACCAATGGTACACATGGGCTATAGGATCCTTAAGGAACAAATGGCATATGAACCTATTGTTGTGCTACTGCCTTGTGGATTAATCTCTGATTCAGTAATATACGTACTTGATATTACACATCTCTTTAAAACTTACAGATACAGATCTCAATTTAACTAAGTTTTAGTATAACATCAAACAATGGTCGCAATAATAGGCTAATTAAAATATCGTGGACTGATTTCAAAGTAAAACTACAGTAGGATTTGTAGATTGCGATTTCTGGTTACACCGGAGGAACGTAGTCAGGAACATTACGATTTATTCTAAAACACATAGAAATAAAAAAACAAGTTATCATGCAAATCATGTTTCTTACTTGTGTAGCAGCTAAGGCAGTTATTGCTGCTTGACGATTCGGCAAGAATGAATCACGAGTTGCTCGAAGAAAAGCGCCTAAAATTGGACCTTGTTGTGTTTGTGTTGAAAAATATGATGCTAATTTTGCTAAACATACAGTTGCATTAGTACGAATTCCACCTTGTGCATCTCGTGACTATAAAACAAGGAGATCAAATATAGTTGAAAATTATTAAGAAATTAAGATTTGTAGGAATAAAAAGGAGATGAATAAAATGTCCTATGTTATCATAAAACAACCATTCAGCTTAAAGAACGAAAGTCCATCAAAACAATGATAACATTTATTCACACAACATTACAGAAAAAAGGTTGATACACAGGAACTAAGAAATACACTACAGATTTGAAGTGCATAAAATTATTTATAATAAAACAATTAGAACTTTTCATGTTTGAGAAGAGTAAACTATGTTTTTCATTCGTTTTGTTATGAAAAGTATGATTTTCGTGAGGGATACAAAACGGGTATGGCGGGAAAACAGGTGACTCTCTTAAAGGACCAAGCCTCCCCCTAATGATACAGTTTCATGATAGACAGTGATCAAGTTAAGTATATATGGTATTTTTTCCTCAGATTTCCATAGCTTGTTTGCACCGCTGATTTGAAATTAGGACTGTTTAACTTCCCTAGATGAACCCTTCATACTCATCATACAGACGGTTGCTTTTGCTTCTCCACTTTTGTAGAGACCTTTTTTCTAGGTGAACTCAGTGTACGCTGTATCTATGAAACACACATACAGAATTCAAGTACAGTCACTCACTTAAACTCCTTTAGTCAGTTTAGAGAACAAACGAGATTTAATCCCCATGTATCCAGGGTTATGATTGGTACTTCCTGAAGTCTTTCTGGTATAAATATAGCATATAGTTCGGGAGCTGAGCAGGCTCTCCTGGACTGGATAGTCGTCTGTAAGCTGTCTAGATAGACGGGACAGTGAGAACTCGGAAAGTTAGAGACACACGGCATTGCCAATTCTTTGTTTCTGCTTATGCTCTAACTAACTGCAGTTTGCATGAAGTACAAGAAGAATTCTATAAGCTAAATGATCAGATGTAGTAATAATGGTAGGTGATTTTAATGCCTAAATACGTAGTTTAAACCAAAGTGAAAGGTACTTAGATGAGTCTTACGGTTTCGAGGATCAGGGTACAAGTAAAAGCGATCGGTTGCTGAGACTACTCAGATAACCACTTATTTCTGGTAAGCACCAACTTTAAAAATGAAGAAGGACATCATTTGACATCGTGATCCCTGAAATTAATTCAATGATTGATCCAAATAGACCATATTGCCATTAGTCATTGTTAGGGAGGCTTAACAGAAGACAAAGACTCATTCTGAGTAGAATCGGATACGTAATGTTAGGAAGAGATGTTAAACAAGAAATCTAAGACGCAAAAGATTCTATATTTACCTCTATTTTTCCGACGCAAAATAAAAAGCACTATTGTGGTGCACCATTTAACTGTGCATGTAGACCATATTTCCTTATCTATAGAATTCAATTATCACTGGGTTCTAAGATCATTATTTTGTGAACACCCATGTGATGACTGAATTATGAAATTATGGCAGAAAAATATGACCGAGGGCCTCCGCGTGGCACCGCTTGGTTAAAGGAGAAGCCTCATTAGCTAACTTGGGTGGTCGACGGAGATCAGACTAATCCACCACTCAGTTATACCTGAATTAACCAAAGATCCACATTTCAAGGCACCGAAAATGTCGTCTGTACGTGCACATATATATATATTTATGAATTAGATGAGTTTCGGCCTGCGCAGTTTGTGTATGTAGCTTATATGCATAGGATACGCGTCTGGCTCAACCGGAATGAGTTAGAGTAGACAGTCTGCCCCATGACAGGAAACGCTCACCCTATAAAAAACAGATGGAGGAAACATGAATGAAGGTAGTGATCATCAACCTTCCCTAAGAGCTCTTATGCTTATGTATGTGTGATGATTTGAGTGAACGTAAGTCTTAGTACCTCTTATATGCATATACTGTAAAAGTTAGAACAACACATATAAGCGAACAATTGTTTTCAATTAGATCGTCATCAGGCTTTTCCATGAATATCGACATTTCATCATATTTGTGTGTGTGCTGTGATACTGTCCGGGTGCTCAGACCGAATCAAGTGATGTTCTTAGGGGGCCACACCCTGAGCCTTTGACCTAGAAGTCTGACCCATAAGATAGTGGAGCATTGTGAGGAGATGCAGTCCCATGGTACCTGGTGACCAACGATTGGTTCATGCGCCATGCTTGTCTTGCTTCGATTAACAATCAAACGATTCACATTATTATTTACTACGTTATTTATTCACTCTCTTTTATTCCCACTTTATATATCCTTATTTTTCGACTTATACAGCAGCTCACCCATGGTATGTTATTTATGTCTCTGTATTTCCCTGTGTTGATAGACTGTATTGTTTATTCGTATACTAACGGTGTTAAGTTATGTTTTAGAAACAGATAAAATTTATCAAGCCAAATAGCTTACTTGTTCTGACTTTGGCTAAACCAAGACTCTGTGCTTGACAGTCTAGAGAATAGCGTAGAGTTACACCAGTAGGAAATTGCTTCCTACACTGCCTGGTTGAAAATTGTATGCTACCGCCAAATACGAATACTGAAGCAGTTTTTCTGAAACCACGTGCACCATTCAAACTGGCTGCCTTCAACGTTCGTACACTTATGCAGGTCGGCCAACAGATAGGGCTGGCTATGTTATTAGAAAGTCTTAATATCGATGTTTGCTGTCTATCCAAGACCCGTATTCAAGACTCTGGTGAAGTACTACAAATTCGCTCCCCATCTATCGCTTCAAAAAGCTTGTTTTACAGGCGTTTATCCGGGGACCCTGTGACATCTTCGTCTGGTCTGGAGAAAGACTTCTCGACCTTGAGTATGCGGATGATATCATCTTACTGTGCGATAATGCCCAAGCCATGCAATCCGCACTTAACCAGTTGGCAATCAATGTTCGTAGGTACGGTATGTGCTTTGCACCTTCGAAGTGCAAAGTATTTCTACAAGACTGGCAGGATTCTAATTCTGTACTCACCCCGGATGGTGAGCAGATAGAAGTAGTCGAGAAGTTCGTGTATCTAGGTAGCTGCATAAGTGCTGGTGGTGGCGTGAGTGATGAGATCAATGAACGTATAGTGAAAACCAGAGCGGCTTATGTGTTATAGCCCAAAGCCGCCAATGAGAAGCAACGAATTATCGATCGGACCAAGGACGCGTAAAACCCGTGCGAGCAGCCTAGAGTTCTGATCGGTCCTGCTTTCCGCCTAGCCCAGCCAGTCAAGTCCAGAACACCAGTCTCAGCCTCTGCGATATGAATCATTATATTTCAAAAATATTGAGTTTATATACCAATTAAACAGACCACAACGTACCAATAAAATATGAAACAACATTTGTACAACAATTAGCCAGATGTGGCTATGAATGAGGGAGGTAGTAATTAATATACTGGGTATAACTCAAAAATGATAACGTATAATAATAGTTTATGGGTCAAAATGAAGCTTATAATAAGAGGAATATGAATATGCATAGTTTAGTTACTTAATAATCATACAATAGAAATATACGTTTAGTATTGGTCAATCAATAGATCCCAAAAGTTACCATTCATTATTCTTGTCGGGACATAACATTATGCCAATCTGGGCCATCTTTGGCACCTTCGTGATGTCGGTCTGGCTGTAAAAGGTCGGATCTACGACGCGTTGGTGAGAGCAGTTTTGTTCTATGCTTGTGAAACCCGGCCTCTCCGAGTTGAGGATGTCAGACGACTCTCTGTGTTTGATCATCGCAGAGACGATAATGCAGTTGGTGTCACCATCTTGAAAAATCGACTTCAGTGGCTTGAAAATGTTCTACGAATGTCGTCCGATAGAATTCCACATCGTGCAGTATTTGCGGACGCCTGAGCTGGTTGGATAAAGCGGAGAGGTGGTCAGTGTATGATATGGTGTCGTGGTATTAAAAAAAGCTGCAAAGGGCTGGCTTCTGTTGATCCTTCACGACTCCCTGGTTGGGGTCCGAGAGATGATGCAACACAGTGGCTAGAGACGTTATCAGATATGGCTCAGAATAGAAGCCAGTGGCGATCCTGCTGTAACCTTCTTTTACTTTCTTCATAAAACGTGGTTGTATCTTCCTTCACTGAAACAGTTCTTCTGGTCGTACCTCTCCGTTTCCCCCATTATTATTATTATTATTATTATTATTATTATTATTATTATTATTATTATTATTATTATTATTATTACTCTACGTTACACTAATCTGTTCGTTATTGTTCTGTTTTTCTTATACGCTCCTTACCTTCTATTTTCTCTTCCCATTCTCATTGTTTTGTGTGGCATGTATATATTTGGTGCCCCCTTGTACCAACATTTATGTGTTCAAATAAATAAAGAAAGAAAAAACACATAAGGTGCAGCAGATATGAATGAATGGGGTGGTGACCATCAGCCGTCTCAAAGAGGCGAGTATGCCCATATGTATGCCATAGGATGTGTAAGTGAAAACTTATGTTATCGGTGTCGATGTAATGTATACTAATCCTAGGTGCGATACCCATGTGCGAAGACCCGAGGGGTTTTAAACGATTTCCTCATAAAAGCATTTACGCGGTGGGTTTATATCCCTCGAAAAATGAGTCCTTCTGCCAAGAGAGCCAATGGGGTTCCCCAATGAGGCCTAACCAATCTCATGACTGGTACACCGCAGTTAGGAATACGCATATGATAAGTGGATTATGGAATAAGCGATACAAAGTTATTGTAATTATAAATTATCACCAACCTGTAATGTTATTATGTGCTTTATTAAATTCTCATTTAGTAGTTTTGTTGAAAGTTTTGGTGCCAAATGAATCATTGCACGTACAGTCGCTTCACGTACAACTGGATGTGTATCTGTGAAACCAGCAGAAACTGGACCGAAAATTTGTGTTTCTATACATTTTGTTTGTAAATGTTGTACAAAATCAGGTAGATGTTCTAAAAGGCGTACACGTGTTGCACGTTCAGGTGATGAGAACAATTTTAAAAGACATGGGAGAACATAGGTTTGAAAATCATTATCCGATAACAATGGAATAAGACGCAATACAGGTAGAAGAGCATCAACTCCAGCAGATCCATAACGTAAACCATTAACTAAATGAGGTAGTATTTTATGACGGCATACATCATCTGGGAAACTTGTTATTTGTGTGGCAAGATTTTTTAAAAATGTGGATTTTTCCTACAAATAGACAAATAAATAATGGAAGTACAAGATAACGATCATTAAAATATATTGGAACCTATTACTGATACAAATTTACTGACTAACCTAATGAAGCATCTTTTATTAGATCACATCTATTGGGTGGGGATCAACGGAATCATGACTCAGATGTTTAAAGAAGTAAGGTTCAACTTAGCATTTCTAGGATAGATACTTTTGAGTTCCAGATATGGTTAAGTCCCTTGAAATTAGTTGGTTACCTCTGTTACACGTTTTATTTGTGTATTCATACATATGATTAAGAAGAAAAACAGACGCTCCAATGTCAGCTAATCATAATTCTAAATGATATTAGTGTTTCAAAACAAGAAGATACTGGGTGTGTAAATTCAAGTTTTTTCAATGAATAGTAGGTCATAACTTAAGAAAAAATCAGTTTTTCAATGAAGTAAAATAATACAACATTTTGCAGATCAATAAGCATTACAAAAAACGTAGTCTCACCAAATTGAACACGTGTATTGATTAAAATGTTAATGATTTAAGAAAACATAAGCCTGGAAATTTTGTAACCACTTATTAGACGGGGTAGCGAAAAGTAGTAATGGTAATTGGTGACACTGATAAGGGGTATAAAGTGCTTGTTTACGTGAGTTGAACAGCAAAAACTGACATAAGGCCTCTTGCTAGATAGTAGGGGAAACCTGGCTAGTCAACTTAGATGGTCGACGGAGCTTGGACTAACCACCCACTCCGCCATCTTCTAGACTAACTCGGGTTTCAACTCGAGGCTCACTTAACCTCACCGGGCTACCTGATGTGTATGATAATGCATAAGAATTGCAGAAGTCATCGGGTGTATGTTGTTCATGTATATAGGCGGATGCAAAGGGTATGAGCGTCGTGGTACAATGGAAAAGCAAGCTGAAATATTGTTTTCCCTATGTCTAATAAAATCAATGGCCTAATGTATCAGGTCGGAGACATAATAAAAAGATATGGTAGCAGATACTTGAAAGAGAAGATCAACAACCTCCACTGAGAGAGCGCTTATGCTTATGTGTATGTTGTGGAGTACAGAGGCGGTGAACATCCACCCTCTCAAGTAAGTGAACATACCTATATGTATCCTATGAAATGCATGGGATAAAATCCGTGTATTACCGGCGTGCATGTAACGCATATTTGCTGACAGGGTAGGTATACCTGTATGTATACCAATGGATACATGGATGAAAGCCTGTGTCACTTGGAATGCATTTAGACTATACCTATCCAGGGTAAATAAAATCTAAAAAACCTTTACTTACTCTTCTTGGTACGACACCTACACACACCAAGACCTGCAGGACCGTGGTTGCCCACAAAATCACTCCACGCGGTGGGTTTGTGAGTCTTAAAAACGCGGAATTCATTCCAGAAGGACCTAAAGACTCCACCAGTATGAGGATTTAACAACCAATCTGGATGGAACACCACACCACGCGGGTTAGCGTAAGCTGATATCAATCTGGCGATGAAGCTATCTACTCATTAATGAACAATGTTACAGTAATTATTAGACCAGGATTCCAGAGTTTTATTTTCATTCTATCATAAATGACCATAACGAAATGAATTGTAGAGAGGAAATGGATGATCTTGATCTATATTCTTAGTAAAATTTAAACATAAAGCTATAATGAGTTATAAAATACCATTTAAATCTAAAAGCACTGAACTGTTTGGATGGGATAGCGTTCATGAATGTAAAAGACGTTTAGTCAACATTTGGTAACATATACCAAATACTTCTAAAAAAATATACAGTATAGTGTAACTCATTTACCAAGGATAAATTTCTGTAGTAGACACCCAAATACCCTGATGCAGCCGAGGATGGCGAGAGTCAGCTTTCCCTCTCGAAATGCTCTCACATGGACAAGCGTATACAACCACTGCCTCCTAGCGGAGGGGGTGTTGTTTACGAAATTGAGAAGATGAAAAGCAAATGTCTGGAGCTATAAGTGGGTTGGTGAACACAGAAGATCCACCTAGAGGAGTTGGAAAACACTGATTCTAAACCAATTGTGAACATGGACTGCAGGATCCTAAGGGAACAAATGCGTAGCATCCCAGCCCCCACACGAATCGGATGGCGAAGTGTGGCGAATATTTATTCAGTGCCCCTTTGTACCAATATTTGTGTTCAAATAAATAAATAGTTTCAAGTCACACTTTACGTGTGAGTGTTGGTGATACCAATCGACCAAATAAGTGAATTTGGCCTTTAACCTGTGAGTCAATGACTAAAGGTCAAGTTTTTTAAACACCAAGCCACAACCCAGCTACAGCTTATTTCACAAACCTAAATGAAGCCACAGAGTTAAATTTTAACAAGAACAATAACACAAGAGTTTAACCACAAACACAAAAATGAAATAATTTTTCTTACCATACTATCCTTTAATTCAATCTCTTCTAAAAATAATAATGTGTCTACGTAATCATTGGCTAAAAATCCTTGTTTTTCTGAATTACGAGTTGACTGGAGAAATTGAGACACGGTGAATCGTTTCACTCCACCTTTTGTAGCACTTTGAGCAATGAGACGTCGATAATCATGTACTAATGCTTTAGGAATTCTCTTCGAATATGAAGATTCAATTAACTGAGCGCGATCTTTTAATGTTGAAGACGGGTTAAATATTTCCCATATTAAACATCCCAAACCCCATGAATCAACGAGACGATTGTCTGGAGGCATGTATGGATCTATGGAAATAGAAAAACCTCCATCATGAAATCATTTATTAAAGATTTGAAAAAAGCAACGAAGAAAATGTACATATTTATAAAACTAATTAAAACCAAGTAGTAACTGCGTCATTTATATAATTTATGGTAGAAAACAAAGAAAATTTACAAGTGATACATGTAATTTAAGTGGTAATAAGTATAACATGATAATTGAATAGTGGCTTTATGATTGAAATACTTCAATCAGTGACCTGGAGGTTTGAACTGTAATTCGTGTTTGGATATTACATTAGTATTATTAGCCCTTACACAAACTATGTGGTTCATAGCTACACTAATAAATCTGCATTTAGTAAATAAGTTACGTTGAATTTATTAGCGTAGTGGCTTTGAAGATTTAATGGAAGCGGCTATTATAAAATAATATGCTAATGACTATTCTAATCAACACAAAACTTGCGAAGGAATAAAAATTCGAAGAAAAACAGTTGTGTTGAGTCCTTATAGTATAATTATCATGTAAGAATATGAGGTATCGAATTATGGATAGAATAGGGTTAGATGTAAAACTTTGACTCTAGAGTTATTGTAAGAAATGAGTTTCATCACCGTTACAATCTGCCTATACAAGAGTGTTGCGATAGTTATAATCTATAGATAGTGACACAGGTGGATCGTTTGTCGCTTTTAGATCCTCAGTTGCATTATGATTTCAAACTTTCCCTTCTCGATCTTAATCATTATTTTCAGACCATATATTCCAAGTTTGATCTTTACCATTATAGATACCGTCAATATGTCAACTTCTTTGCAATTTATCCACTTAATTAACTCCCTTTCACTGTGTAGGTAGATGTTAACTGTAGTAAATTGGAAGGATACATTCGTGTAAAACCAGGTTGAGTGTTTTAAAATTTATGGGACAAGCGATCATATTTCAACATCAAGGGAACTTTTTCTAGTTTAGATATTTGGTGAAAAAGTAGTAAGAACTAAAAATGACCTCGAAAATCATTTATTGAAACACATTAACATCGGTACAAGGGAGTGCAAGAAATATATATGCCACACTTTGAGTGAGGGCTAGAATACTACACGAACTTCCAAGCCGAAGCAGGTGGTTTTCTTACGGGGCACATCAAGAGCCTTGCACCTACAGGTCTAATCCAAAAGACAGTGGAGCGACACCAGGAGATGCAGTCTCATGGTAGCCAGTGACCAACAATTGGTTCCTCAAGATTCCGTAGGCCATGTTCACCATTAGTTTGGAATCAGGGTTTTTCAACTCCTCTAGGTGGATCTTCTGTGTTCACCAACTCACTTATAGCTCCAGACATTCGCTTTTCATCCTCTCAACTTCGTAAACAACACACTCTCCGCTAGAAGGCGATGAGCAGGACTTCCCAGGCAGTGGTTGTATACGCTTGTCCATGTGAGAGCATTTCGAGAGGGAGAGCTGACGCTTGTCACCCCCGGCCGTACCAAGACTGTTATTTTTAAATCTGTTATTGGGTTTAGCTTGTTTTCCAATGATTTGAAATCATAGATACAGAGGTTTTTACAAAGTTGACTTAAAATTCCTCTCACATAAATCCGTTTTTTTCCAGTAAACGTTTCAAGCACTTCTATTTCCTATAGTTAGTTTACTAACATATATATGAGTAAGTACAGCTTACTATCGATTATGACAAAAGATTGAAGTTGAAAAGTTCAGGAGTGTGTTATTTACCAACAAATGATCTAAGGGATTAAAAAGTCTCTAAAAAATAGGACATTGTATAAATTTACCTGTTGTATTTGCATCCACAAAACCTGCTGTTTGTCTAGTAGACGGTGGAGGTTCATTGACAGGTCCGACAAAATCTAAAGCGCCTAACTTCCATTCACCAGCTGTAGTTACAAATACGCTATCTAAACGCACAGCATTATGTGCCAATTTACCGTCATCATTTAAGAAAATTAACGCTTTGGCGATCTAAAGATGACCAAAGAAAAGAGAATGAAAATAAACAAACGCTACACTATTGTTAGAAACAGATGAAACAAAAATAGTCACATTATGACTGTTCATCCAGTCAGCCGTCATCAACGTATGGTCTGGCAGAGATGAGGATTGGTTCGAGTTCCCATACCACATCAGCACAACCAGGTGAACACCGAAAGAGATCGAAATAACGAAGTAGCAATGATAATAAGAAGGACTGAACATTAAGGATATGGTTCGAAAAGACAGAATAACAACGTGTATATAAGGGAATATAAGAATTCAATTTTGAGAGGAAGATAAAGGGTCAATACGCTTGCGCAATTGTGAACAAATCCGAGTCATTCCACCTGAAGTTTCCAGCCGTTGGTGGCTGCTATTATTGATTGAAAATGAAGTGTTTAAAATCTCATACAGTACCTATCGACAAAAATAAGAATAATCTCGGTAAACACTCAATTTCAAAGTTAACTTCATATCCTTCAATTTAAGGCTCAGAATAATTGGTAATTATAGGTGAAATTGTTATAACTTGTGGCCTGTGTGCCCTGTTAATGTATACGTAATGGTACCGCCAATTAGAGAACAGTGATTTGTCGATCGAACCAGTGACGCATAAAACCCGTACGAACTGTCCAGAGCCCTTATCGGTCCTGCTTCCTGTCTAGACCTGCCTGTTAAGTCCAGGACATTAATCCCAGCCTCCGCGATATGAATAATTTTATTTCAAGCATACTGGGTTTATATACCAACCAGACAGACCACATTGTACCATAAAATAGGAAACAACATTTGTACAAGATTTGGCCAAATGTGGCTGTGGATGTGGGAGGTAGTAATTAACAGACAGAGCATAATTCAAGAATGGTAAGTCGTAGAATAATAGTTCATAAATCAAAATAAAGCTCATAATAAGAGGGACATAAATATGCATAGTTTAGTTATTTAACAATTATACGATAAAAATATATGTATATTATTTGTCCATAAACGGATCCCAAAAGTTACCATTCATTATGCTTATCGGGACATAACAGAAATCACTCTTCACCTTTCTCTACATTTTGAATATTTTAACAATCTAAGTTTATTTATTTCTCATACACTGATGTTTTTTTGCTGACCATCTCTTTTTTTATGTTATTAGGACTCGTGTAAAGTACCGTATGTTATACAGGTCAAAATTGTACTAAAAGACGTTAATTGAACTTTTTAGTAAATAAAAAAGATGAGAAAAAGTCTAAAGAATAAATATTTCAGTTAGCATAGGATTGATAACAAGCGAAATAAGACCAAATTAAGATTTTATAGTTTCAATAAAAGATGCTGAGTTCGAGTTTCCACATAAGAATATCAACATTGGTTTAGACAGAGATGCATTTAACCAACGGACTAGTATAGAATGTAAAAGAAACATTTACCCTTAACTCTATTGTAAAAGTAAGAGTGCTCTCATTAATAACAATACAAAACCATTTCTAACACACATACAATTGATGCTCAATTTGTTTTCATAACTCGACCGAGAAATAATAAATCCTGTCACATACCAAATATATATATATATATATATATATACCGTCTTGATTTCATTCTTTACCTGGATTAATAGAAAGGATTCCTCTCATGAGTATTAATCAAGAATATCTTAACTTCGACTGCTTGTGAAGTTGACATCTAGATTAATGCGAAAACGTTTGCATATCGAAATACATAAACTTGAAGAATTAATATAGTAATATTCGCAGTCCTAATTTCACATATTTCCCGAGAATACGCAATTTATCCAAGATATTCAGATTAATTCCAACTTTATGGATAATGCTTTGGCTAATAGGTTTAAATACTATAGTGAAAGTAAACTCACATAGTGGGTTTTTATTACTACAATGTTTTCATAAGGTTTATACAACTTCATACTACTGCCAAAAATAAAACATAAATCAATACCCAAAGAGACGTTTGCAATAGAACTATTTAGCTATTTTATATTTATAGGTTTCAAATGAGAGAATGGTAGAGTGATAGTAAGAAACATTTGTCACTACGAGCTCATCCGATTTTACTCATACTTAAATGGCTTTATTGTTTAAGAAATATTTTATGAATATATACCAATAAGTATATAAAAGATATGCACTAAATACTCAAAAACTACAAGTGTATTAGAAATCTAACTTGATGATTGTTAATGTTAAGCGAGTACACAATTAATATCAATGTGTAACCATTGTTGGAGTAGTTGGGGTCTTCGTATCCTGGTTCGAATTGTCGTTAACATAGTTTGCGGGTATCTCAGATCATAACAAAATATATACATACTAAGGTACAGATGAAAGGTAAGCAGACATACGCACGAATGTGGTCACATAGTATTGAAAAATGTTTAGAGCTGAATTCCGAAACAATCGTTGCTGGTGAATTTGTTTTACTACAGTATGGATCCAAACAATATGTAGTAAATATTTTTTGGTTCATATTATGGTAACGCTTAATTATGTGCCAGCCTAGTGCCATCGATTTGACGGTACTAAATATAATAAATGGAAACAATTACAACTGAATGGAAGACTAGTAACCAAATCACTGAAAAGTGTAAATAATCACTGAATAAATAGAAAACATCCTTATAAAACTGTACGGTCAATTATGGGTTTTTTTTAATAAGGACTGAAAATTTCTAACTCACACTGATGAAGATACATAGATTTAAAAAAATTTAGCCATCATTATTGAAGAAAAATGAACACTAAAAATTGAAACACTGGTTTCTCCTAATAAACATTTGGCACTGTCATAACTTCTCCTAGTCACCAAAAGTATGGAAATTAAGATTATTAAACCTATCTACTAACAACACAGAGCACCCCGGCAAGCGATTTAAAATAACCTATCAAGGAAATGACTCAAGATCTAGAGATGGTTAATACAAGCAGAAAGTGGAAATAATTGTTCATGACCAAAAAAGCATTTGACCTACATAACTTATGAACATAATGAGACATAATAACGATGTTCGAGTAGGGACAATGGTTGGATTGTTGAAAATATCGAAAATAAACAGTGGACAGAAATTCATCGAAGTTTGTAACATAACGAAGAGCAGAGTCAGCTTACGCGCAAGCTGACAAGAAGCCTACGCAATGATCGTGAACAGTGGTGGGTAGTGAAAGCAAGAGAGATGGAAAAGGCAGCAGCTATAGGTAATAGCAGACAATTGTTCAGACTCGTTAAGGAAACCAATACAAGGAACTCGACTGTTAGCGAAACAGTCTCAGAGAAAGATGGACATATACATTCTCAATCCAGGAGATTGGATCGATGGGCAGAACACTTTAGAGATCAGTTCAACTGGCCTTCAACCACACTTCAGTTTCCCACGATCTCCAGTCAACCTGAATGGCAAGTTAATGTAGGTCCTCCGACTCTTTACGAAGTTGAAAAAGATATAAGAAACCTGAGACGAGGGAGAGCAGCAGGCCCTGACAGGTTTACTCCTGAGATTTTTAAGGATGGTGGTCCAGTATTAGAAATGAGATTAACTGAGGTCTTAGGTAGAATTCGGGAACTGGACGTAATCCCTTCTAACTGGTCTCAATCACTGATTGTGCCAGTCTATAAGAAAGGACAAAAGTCCTCTTGTGACAATCACAGAGGAATCAGTTTGACTAATATAGTGTCTAAAATATTAGCTTCAATAATACTTCGACACCTAACCAAATCTCATGAGGAGACCCTGAATGACATTGCTAAAAATCGTTTGCAATGGCACAGGTGCATACACTCTTTGTGTTCTCCCAAATTCTAATCTTCTGAATTCCTCATGTCCCTTTTTTTTCCTCTTTCCAAATTTGTTTCGCTGGATTATACTCCTCGAATAACATCTTCAAACCCTAATCTTTCCAATTACTGCTTATACTCTTACTACCTCTACCACTGCGGGATTTCAATCGACAACTGCATCTCGGTGCTAATGTGGTATGACAACTCGAACTGATATACGTACGTACGAAGTTCTACGTTGTTACTGACTGACTGACTGACTTGTAACTAGACGTACGCGCAAGGTTGTGTTTTGTCATAACATCGAGCCTATGTAACATAATAGTAGAACACTTTTAAAAAATCTCCAGAGTAAACACACAGATTAAAGTTCAGCAAAATCATTGATCCTTCTTAGGTCAAACTACTCTTCACACATAAATATTCAAATCATGTTTGATACATGTCGAACAAAGAAATATAGTTTTTCAAAAATAGACATAGCTCATTAGCATTATAGTTTATCTACCGATACCAACCTGATGTATACCCCATGAAGAGAGAAGGTTGAAATTTCCACAATCTGCTTTAATGCGTAGATATTCCCGTAATGGTAGAACACGTTCCGTAACAAAGCCAATTTCATTAGGTAATTTCCCTGAACCAATCTCTGATCCACCGATCCAAGTAAGCATATTTGGATGACGTAATGTTTTCATCCACTTGACTGTACTTTGAAAAATAGACAGAATAGTACTAGCTTCCCTGGTTGCAGCATTCGAACTTAGGTTGCACACAAACAAAGTAACCTCTTCTTTGGTTTTCTTTTTCTGACCAGGGAGAAGTCGCCATTTGAAATCATATGGGCCATAAATCGTTCCTAATGGTTCTGAGTTGGGTGGGTCAATAGAGAAACCAGGAACTGGGTCATGAGAAAAGTTCAAGCCTAATGAGGTAGCTGATCCCAACAAGCTGTCTGAATCCCTGTTAGTAAACAGCCACATAACTTGGTGGACTATCCCTTACTAGTTTTCTGTAAATTGAACAAAAGATTACTAAACTAAAAAGGAGTCAGTAATAAAATAAGATTATTCACGGGTATATATATATATATATATATATATATATATATATATATATATATATATATATATATGAGAAAATAGTGGCTCATGTATTGATATTTTTACAAGTGGTACAGAGAGAATAATACTGTAAAAAGATGTGCGAAAACAAGAAAATATAAAAATCTGATTATTTCATTCGGCGAACTAGGGACAATTAGCCTGATTTCAAACCTAGACGTGAATGTATCGACCATACATTCACTATTCGTCAAGTTTTGAGATAAATATATCGCCGCCCAACTATGGTCGTGTTTCTCGACTTTGAGGTGATACTCAACTCTATCGGACGAAAGATTGTGGCTGTTTGTCATTGAAAGGGGTACCAAATTACATACAACATGTGAAGCATCTCTACTCAGATAATATTGTTTGAGTCAGAGGTATTAGGAAACTGTCACCAGAACTATCGACCTTAAGTGATGCGTATTAGGTTTGATCATAATTCTCTATTTAATTTCATCATAGATATCTCCCTGGAAATAACACTCCATCGAACTTTCAAGACTGGCCTCTTACAAGGAGATCCATTTATGACAGTTCTGTTTAGTGGAGCTGACAAGGTGAAGGCTGACCGCCTTAAGGAACAATGCCAACATGTTTGAGACGCGATTGCTTCCTAAATGGAAAATATTATCTCAAGACTTCCCTGAGTCAACGTCTGAATTAATCATAGGGAATGAAGTAATTCCGCTAGTCTAATCATTCACTTATGTTGAAAGTCTCATTGACGCTGGTGGGTTGGTTTCTGCACAAATTTCGTGGTATATTCAAAGCTCGGTTGCCCCTCGTCAAATTGTGGTGTAGGTGAGATAGCTGTGTGGTGTTTGTATGAACTAATGATTCTTTCGTACTTGATTTCGAATTCCAAATGCAATACGTTCGTTTGTGCTCATCTAATACCTTTTAGTTAAATTGCGTTATTTCTGGGATTACTAGTTTGTATGATAATTAAAGTACTCCTAATTATCACATTGGCGTCGTGATGGAACAGTTGGATGTACATTCAGATTTTGACGCTTTTGAAGATTACATGGAAAGGTTCGAAATCTGGGCTATGACCAACGAAGATGTTTAGAATATTAATATTGTGGCTCATTTCTTTACATTCATCGGTGTATACACTCTCTGTCTTCCCTTAAACCAAGAGATTAAAATCGCTTCAAATCTTTCTTTCTACGAACCAATTCTTTCTTCCTGTACTATATCCTTATTGCAATCTTTCTTTTATATATTACCACCTGTGAATTAACTACTTTTATGAATCCGGTATCCATCTTGTTGTGCTAATGCGGTATGGCAACTTGGACCGATGCATATATGTGCCTGGTCTTACGTTGTAGCTGATTGATCGGAAAAGAAGCATACAGCTTATTAAAAACTGGTTTTACCAGTAAAGCCTATTTCACTTCCTTATGCAACTCTCAAGGAACTACTGATAGGCTATGTAAAGTATACAGATTTCGAATGAGGTAAAGGAGGAAAATTTCATAAAATGACTAGTCAAGACATGAGGAATTCCACTACTTTACTACGTCGTCTCAGTCCAATGAGTAATCAAGGTTATTTAGATAATTCATTGAGAAGTTGCGAAGCAAGTCACGAAGTTTGGTAAATGTTTGTTCTGTGGTAAGTTTCGCCCGTGTAATTCATGTGCATTTTGTAATACCAAATGCTTTAAATGTGGTAAAACCGGACACATTTAGTCAGTTTGTAATACTATTATTCGTTTCGCTGCAAGCAATGCTAAATTTTGTAGTTCTGATCGTATTAAGCTGGATGTTTCTAATGATCATTTATTTTTATCCACCTCGAAAAACAGTAGTCATGTAGCAGCCCAGAATCAAATGAAACTTAGAATCATTGTAAGATAAAAGCTTCTAGTCAATCAACTTTTTATCGGATTTCTCATGTTATTGTACTAGATGTGGCTTGTCCTAACGACTCACATATTTCTAATGAAATTTTTTACAAATCTGAGGAAAATATGTTGAGTGAAGCAAATCGTGATAAAAAATCTGATGCAGTTTTGATCGATGCTGATTTTTCTAATGGTCTATTATCCTCCAATGACATTTCTAATAAATTCGAAGAAAATATTTCAAAACAATTAAATCCTGATGCCATGTTAAGTGTTATTTGTCCTTATGATACATTTGTTTCTTATGAGGAACTTGCGAAGCACAAGTCCTAAACAAGCTTGATTTGGATTACAATTCGGATGATTTCATATCAAATGTTATTTATACTTATCATGAAGTAACTTCTAAGGAAGACTCTAATCAATGTGAGATATAGGTTGTAAATGAAGTCACGCTATTCATAACTTGAGGATATGGAGACCCAACATTATTTTGTGGGGGAGGATAGTATTGGAAAATCTATGGTTCAATGACTTCAGTACACAACAAGCATGGTGATTATATACAACTCCAAGACCCAGGTGATTCTGTTCTGATTTCAGTTGCTAATTCTAATACTAGAGGGTATATTCTAGACCATAAAAAGTCTACATCTAATAAACAATCAGACAGACATATGATGAACCTAAGGAGAAGTACGCTGATCGCAGAAATTTGGATTTTCATTTAAGCTGTGATGGAATTGGTGTTTGTAATGAACTAATGATTCTTCTGTACTTGATGACTGCTTGATTTCGAATTCCAAGTGCGATACGTTCATTCGTGCTCATCTAGTACTTTTAGGCTAAATTGAGTTATTTCTAGGATTCCTAGTTTGTACTATAATTCAAATACTTCAAACCATGACAATCCGTCTGTCCACTAAAGGACGATTTGACTGCTCAGCAGTTTTCTCTACTCTACAGACAAGCATTCGCAAATTTCATAAAAGTACTTTAATTGATTTAAACACCAACCAAACCTACCAAAAATGATCGCTAATTGATTGAGTAGTATGAAATCATGGCACTAAACCTGCATTGAAACTTTTTATGGGTTACAGATCTAATCCACAATTATAGGTTTTCCTAAGATATACGACAAGATCAGGAAGAAATAGTGGAACCCAGTAATCAATAATCAAGGTGAGTGTATACCGTTAGTCTATACGGTATGTGAAGGGGTATTAGGACGTTTATGAATGGTTAAGGGACGCTCTTGCCCAACAGACAATGAATCACTTCCCAAGGAACTGAAAATAGAGAGTATGTTAACAAAAACTGGTCTCTATTTAGGCTCCATAATTCTTTACCACCACTGCTCTACCAAAACTTTAAACATTTAGCATTGGCGATATATTCGTCGGTGCATCCTAAACCACACAGCAAAGCAGACTCAACTAGGAATGATTTAATAAATTTTTTGACAGGACATGAATGACGTTATGAACCAGAACACTCAGTTTTTAAGGTGCATTCGTTGAAGCACCCTCTTGATGACGTTTGTTTCCATGGAGCCTTAGATTATCCGCCTTTAGATTTGGGGTCTTATATGAAAGGGATCAGGAAATCGGTACATAGCATTGCCACAAATGTATGTTTATTTAATTCCAGAATTCACAGGATTATTTTGCTTCAGAATAATAACACTGCAGTTCAAAAAGAGCGTTATTTTCAGAATTTATTACTATGTTTAACTTAATTTTTTAATAAAGCTCTTTCTGACCATGGATTTACTTTCTTACTGACATGTGTTAAGTTGAGACTAATTACGTCGTGAGAGCGTGTCTGATCTCATATGCAATTAAAATTAAGACAATCTTAATGAATATCGCATCACCTGTAGTTTCTTTTGTAGATCGTAAATGGAAGTGGAACTTTATACTTACGACGAATTTGTGTGATGAGCATCTATCTACTGATAATCACCTTGTAAACTATAATGTCATTTCCCGTCAGTGTCTTTAACTGGCGAGAAGAAAATTTATGGACGAACCAATCACGTATAGGATAACAGGTCTTGGATTTTGGCACGAAATTCACTCATTTATTATAGGTGTCACTTCTTGATGAAAACCCGAAATCTAATTCCTAACCGTAATCATCAATCATAATTTATAATTAGAATTCCTCACTGGTTTATAACCCTCATTTGGTCCTGGTTATTAGGTGGACACTCAGAATCAGTCTGGCACCGCTCGGAGGTCATCCATAAATTGAAGTCTCACCGAGGGCAAAAGCAGGGGAAAATTAAGGTTGAATGAAAAGTGAACAATTCGATATGTATTTAATTGAAAATTAGACAACTTAGTGACATTTCAAACACAAGGCGACAAAAAAGGAAATTTCGCATTATTTTTCAGCGACAAGAGAAAAAGGAGACTATTTGGCGAGTTTTCCCATTATCTAACCTAATTGTTTAATAGAATGTCTCTTTTATTTCCCTTATATTGGTTGCTTAAGCAACCAATCAGGTTCCCGTGCCACAGTCTATGGTTTAAGCCAAAATATTAGCAGGACAACGAGAATAGCCACCAGAGGCAAAATGTCCATTTTTAGTACTAGTTTTCAAGAGGGCGAATTTGGGAAGGCACACAAGATGTTAGAAAACCAATAAGTGATTATCTGTCAGCTGGTTGTTTCTAGTGACTGTGAAAAAGTTGTGCATGGCTGGCATATAAATAGCGTTTTCTGTGAACGAATATTAGAAGGATATAGGATAATACAGCTTTTCTGTACCTTTTAACAGTCCAAACGTAGTAATACAGTAAACATGATGAGTTGACCTTACAAGTTCAAGGCTAGAAGGTCTACATTCACTGTACAATATATTTGTCACGAGATGGTGTGGTCCATTTAATTTCTTCAAGTTTTCTTCTTCTTGCTTCGGTACAGTTCCAGGTATTTGCTGATTGCCGATGGGTCTAGACACTGTATTGAACTCTAAAAACTGGTTGTTATTTGTGGAATTTTGTATTGT